CCCCAAAACCCCAAAACCCCAAAACCCCAAGGAGGGATTTTTTAATTGGAAATAATATGTATTTATTTTGAAGGGGTTGTTTTGTTGTTGATATGGATAATCCAAAGAGAATTTGTCAAGGCTGAGTGTTTGGTAGTCAAGGAGAGTATTATTGTAAAGACCATCAGTGTATTTTATGCCTTCATTGAAGAGAAACCTCTCATTTTCAATGAAGTTACCTATCAATCCCTGACTCTACCGAACTAATCAAGATCATTCAGCACTTGGAGAATTTTGTTGAAAGTTTAATAGCAGAGGCTAAAAAATATGACTTGCTTGATCAAATTGCAAATCTCAAGGATGCTCTCGAAAATATTACATTCAGCATTTACAAACTCAAAGAAGAAGCCACCGTATGTATCAAGAACGATGAATTTATGAAGTGGAATGAGCTCAAGAGGAAAGCTCACCAAATAAAATCAGACATTTTGAACTCGAAATGTTGAAAAACAGAAGGAAGGCCAAACTATATCTTTGAGTTACTGTTTTATTGCCATATTTTGAGGTTTACAAACTCAGACTATCCGAGAACTGAAGAGGAGGAATTAACAAATTCGACTTTTAGTTTTATGAATAAAGAGTCAGATTATACGAACATTTTTGAATCAGTTACTGGAGAGAATGAAATCAGACTAGAAGATTCTTGTGAACCAGATACTCAAAACAAATCACAATCAGAAGAAGATGACTCAGGGGAAAGCGATTTAGAAGAGGAGATAAACCAGCTTAAATCCACTATAAGCAAACTTTGATGAGAGAACAAAGAACTTAAAGACAAGATTTTACGAGATGAAGAGGTAAAGCAAGCCATGGAGAAGGAAATACAAGAGATCAAGAACGAAAAAACTTTAATGCATACTGAGATTATACAGAGAAGAAATATGACGAGTTTCTGCAACACTTATATGATCCTTATGGAAAAGCAAACTAAAGAGTTTCAAAAAATGAGGTGACGTGTTCTTTATAGAGACCGTGTTGCTAAAGACAAGCATTTTAACAAAGAGGCTTGACTTTCTATAAATTTTTGGAAGCAGTCTCTTTGAGATTTTATGACTGATTTGAAGATTCACAGAGTTAAGATTCCACGGATTAAAAAGATGACCATTGAAGTATCAACAAAAAAAGATCTTAGAAGTTCCAACACATTTATGCTAGAATCCATTGGAGAAGGGTCTGAAATATTCAAAATCAACAATCTTGCCTCTTTAAAGTTTGATATTTCAAGAATCATAAAAGGAGTTACTCAAAATTTGCCTAAGATTACTCAATATGCGATGCTTACAGGATGGATACTAGACTCTGAAGATCTTATCAAGATCATAAACAGTTGACCACGGGTTTTGATGCTTTTGTTCAGGGATTGTCATATTAACGTAGATGATCAAATCAGGTTTTCTGTTGTTCATTCTAGAATGAGCTATTTGAGTTTCCACAGCACAACATTCCAAACCTCAAATGACGAGATTGAGATAGATCAGGAAAACATTTTTGCAAGAATTATTGAAGCAGTTAGTGCATCCAAAATAATTTCTACTTTGAAGGCAATAAATATTTATAACTGCCATATAGATATATCAAAGATTCACGAGAAGTTAACTCTTTATGGCTTGGGACACATATCAATCCTAAAGGAGACTCATGACTCTAAAATAATGTTTAATTATATTGAATAATTTTTGGAATTTTCATTCTGAGTGAAATAAATATTTTCTTCTCTAACATTCCAACCCCTTCTAAACTGCTCCAAAATTTGTTTCCAAAACCTCCGCCTCATAGTCATGCATCATCGAACTCCAAAAGTGGTTTCCTAATAAAGTCTAAAGCAACGTCTGTACCATCAATCCTCCTCTCCACATGTCTCTATTTCTTCCTTAAAATCCTTCCCAAGCTTAATATCTGAACTACACTTCTGTCTTTTGTTCTGTTCAGTATTTTGAGGAAAATAGCTTTGCGAAAGAAGACTAGGTGGGGTTTGAAGGAAGAGTGGGGTTTTGAGGATTTAAAGAAGGGAGTTTGGGGGGGTTGGGATCTTTTGGAGGAGTTTAGAGTTGGTTGTATTTTTAATTGTTTTATTTTTGTGAATGGGGGTATTTAAATTTATAATTCTTTGTTTTGTTGGAGAATTGGTTTAAGGGATTTTAGTAAAAATTTTAATCTATCCAAAAATACTTTTAAGTCTTATTTTAAATAATATTTGTTGTATTGATTATAAAAGAAATATGTTTTACACTACTTGTTTTGAAAATACAATTTTTAGAATTTTCATAAACATTAATATATAAAATCATCTAATACCCTGTTCCAAATTCGCGACAAAACTTATTATCTTTAAAATTCTGATTCCTAAATCAAAATTCACACAAAAAACTCCAAAACCCAACCTCTAAACCACTTTCCTCCAACACATTACTCCCCTAACCCCTACTTTTCAACACTCAAAACACCCCTTCCCTCCTCTCTACCCCTACAAACCCCCATTCTCCCAAAAATTCCCACTCAAATCCCTATTTTCCTTCTTCGTTCCTAAACCTCCTCAAACTCTTCTACAGCCTTGAATTTTGACTGCTACTTTCTTTAAAATTTGTTTGCGAGCAGACTTGGGGGAGGGGAATTTAAGATTTGAGTGGGGAATGAAGGGATAGAGGGAATTTTGGGGCTGAAGAGGGAGATAAGGGATTTTTTGGGGAAAATGGGGTGAGGGATTTTGGAAGATTTAAGTGGGAATTTTTATATATTATCATGATTTTTTAAGGTTTAAGTATTATTTTAGTGTTAGAGATTATGAGTCATAATAGTTTATGTGGTAGAGCAGGATGTAGTAAGATAAGGGCACACTATTGTAGTGATCATAAGATTGTACTCTGTAGTACTTGATATGACATCTCCCATCCTACATGTGATTCCAAACCGATCCTGAATCCAGATTCTATAATGAACACCATTAAAACTCTTGAAAAGTTCATTGATAGTTTAAACAAAGAAGCTAGGAAATATGAATTACTGGTGCAGATGAAGGAATTAGAAAATTCATTAAACAGTATCTCAAATGCTGTTGCAAGTGTTAAGGAAGAAGCAAGATTAGCAATTGAAAATGATGAGTTCTTGAAGTACAATGATATGAAGATTAAAGCCCAAGCTGTTAAATTAAACATTCTAAATTGAAAATATTGAAAATCTGAGGAAAAGCCAAATGAAATCATTGAGTTGCTATTTTATTCGCAATTTTTCAGATTATATGATGCCGATGAAAGCGAAGAGAATGTCAAAATTAGAGCAAATAAAAGAAAGACATATCCAGAAATTTCCTTGTCAAATAATTTTTATGATATTGAATCATCACAAGAGACCTTCATTACTGAGAAGCATTCTGATGCCCCTAATATGCAAAGGAAAAGATTTTTGGAACCAAGAGAGATTGAAAAGCTCACAGAAAAGAATAAAGCTCTTGAAGATGACAATAGGAGACTCAAAGAAGAAAATTTAATTTTAAAGAAGAAGCTTGGAGAATATGAACTCACAAATCAATCCCAAGCTAAGAAGATTGAACAATTGAAAAAAACCAAATGAAAGAAATGACCCAAAATTCTCTTAAAGAAGATAACGAAAAAAGATTCTAAGCATGATGAACCTCTTGATATATACTCCTTATAAAAAATTCGGGACATACAAAGTCAGATGGAGAGTATAATCAGAATAACTTTCAATTAATTCTCAAATAAGCCTTTTACAAATTATTAATCATACCGACTGTTTTAATTTCAAAATATATTTAAATTAATCTTACCCCAATACTCTTAACCCCCATCCCCAAAACCCCCTAAAATCTCCATCCCTCCACTTCACATCCCCCAATCTCTTCGCACCTATTCCCTAACTTAACCTAAAATCTTACTGTTGTTCCACCAAAATTTAAAATTTCTTCTTGATTTTATGTACTAGAAATTGGATGAGGAAGGGAGTTTTTAGTGGAGCAGGAAAGGGGTTTTGGGGACTGGAGGGATTAGTGCGAAATTTGAAGTTTTGGGGTTTTGGAGGTTGTGGGGGTTTTGGGGGCTTAGTTTCTAAAGTTTATTTTGATGTATTAATATATAGGAAGAAGATTCAAATGAAATACATTAAAAAAATTAATATAAAACTTATTATCAGACTTGACCTAACCTGGAGATTATTACAATTTTACTTTTCTTAAAAAACTAATTTTTCATATAATAGAGGACTAATGCTATTATTTGAATTTGGTAGAAATAAAAATTTCTAGCTTAAATAATAAAGATGATTGATTTAATAGTTTGCTATAACGAAAGGCCTCAAACAACTACTACAAAGAGTATCCCAAGTTAAAAATTTGAAAAATTGGTTGAAAAATCCTTCGAAGAAAAGCAAGGTTTTGTGAAATTCAAGAATCTATTCTTAAATTTCCAATGAGGAAGATGCAAATTCAAACAACCTCTTACTAGATTATGGAGTTGAAACATTAAATTTCCTCCTCTTGATGAAATAAAAATAACATGCTCAAACTTCGCTCCTATAGATCTCATCAACAATTTTCTGAGTAAAAATTACCGAGAATTTAATAATCTCATCCTTGATACTTATTTAATAAAATTTTACTTATCAAAACTTACAAAAGGGCTATCAGCTATCTTACCTAATGTGACCAGAGGAATAGGACTATGTATATTTATGATTAACTCCTTAAGACCAAGAAAAGTGATAAGTAGTCCAACTTAAGCAAGAGTATTTGGATTTGATGACTGACATGTAAGAATAACAATGAACTTCAGATTAAAAATTACCAAATAAATATTATTACACTTCGTATCTAACTCATTAAGTCTACTCAAAACCCACAACCAAGACTCTAGAGACAAAATTACCCCCTTTACCCCTTCATATCAACAATGACTAAATCCCCAAAACCCCCATAAACCACCTAAATCTCCAATTCCCTCTAAAAATCGCAAACCCACTCAACTCCTAAATCTCCCTGCCCAAAAATCCACCACCATCCGCCCTCCCAATTTTACTATTCAAACTCAACCTATAAATCCAAAACCCTCGCTTTGTTCAAACCCTGGTCACTTACTACTAGCAAGCTACGGCTGTAATTTCTATTGGTGGAAAATTTAATTTTGCTTAACTTGTACTGTAAGTTTTGGGGTGGGAAATTTATTGTGATATCATGAATACTAAAACATTTACTTTTCCAGCACCAAAATAATCAAAAACTACAATCTATAACCTCAAATCTTCGATTTTAAAAGCTGAAATCAATTGCCAAAAAGATCAGATACTAAAAAATTAAGAAGTTATAGTTATTTCTTAAATACACTGCAACCATTTAGCCTAAGAATTGTTGTGGAATAGATTGAACTTAGTTATTTTATTCCTTCAATAATAAACCTAAATGCTGGAAATTGAACCACAGGTTTAACTGACAAAATAGATTTGAAAAGCATCTAGTGGGAATGTAGGTAGTAATATTGTAAGATAGGTTTGCCTTGGTGCTTTCAAACATGAGTATAATTTCATCTAACCGCTTTAAGGTGCTAATTTTAAAATATGCTTCTCTCCAAGTCATCTCATTTTTAACCTATTTTGATATATACTAAGTTCCTTTCTGTTTTACACAACTGTTTTGTTTAGATTTAATCATTTATTATCTAACACTTTTAGGTTGTTGATCTCAGAATTAATAAAGTTAATGGACTATTTTTAACAATAATGGAATTGCTACTGCCAATTCATGAGCAAATAAAATATAATTTAAAGGTTATTTTAATAAAGGACAGTCTCATCTTGACCACTGCATGAAGTCAAGGATTTGCTCTAAGATTACTCTAAAGTTTCAATAATGCTTATGAATTTTCAATTGAATTTCAATAAAATTATAATTCGATCATAGTTCTTTTTAATTCATAAAAATTTGCAAAGAAGTCCCACAATTAGTTGTCACATAAATTTTATGGTTAACTCAAATCTGTAATCCAATTTTATTAAATTTGCTTTAAATCCTCTAAATCTTATAATAAAACGACCGAAATTTGTTTTCAATAAATCTGAAGGGGTTCAAACATTTGGGAGCATCTGCTAAATATTCAGCTTCAGACTAATCCGAGATGATTAAAACAGACTTTGACTGCAGCTGCTTAGGCTGAGAAAACTCCAGAGAATACTTCTGCTCTGACCACATAACTGTTCTGTGTCATCAGTGATGGAACTCCTTTCATGCAAACTGCAATTGCAAACCAATTCCTGATACTGCTGGCTTCAAGAATGATGTCAATGTTCTTGAAATGTTTGTTGAGAGTTGAAACCAGAAGGCCAACAAATATAAATTATTGACACAAATTGAAAACCTTGACAGTTCTCTCAGAAATATGACCAAAGATGTGGAAAAACTCAAAACAGAAGCAGACTTCGCTATCCAGAAAGACCAATTCCTGAAGTTCGAAAAACTCAAATGAAGAGCGAAAGAGATCAGATCAAACATCCAGGATTCAAGATACGGAACATCTGAAAAAGGAGGAAACTGTATCTTTGAGCTATTGTTTTACTCAAAACTATCAAAGCTTGCTAAACCCTGAAACAGCAAATTTAAAGTCAAACCAGAAGGCAGCCTAAATGGAAAAATCATCAAGAAAAAGAGGCCTACTGACTCAGAGCATTCATCTGATTCAGAAGAATCAGTGGGAGTGATCCTGAAAATGGAAGATTTGACAAGTCAAGATGATGAAATATTAATAGAAGAAAAGTATACAAACACTAATCAAAATTTATCCAAGAGAAAAATTAATAGTTCACAGGCAGAAAACAAAGAATTGACTCAACTGAAGAATTTACTGGAGGTGGGAATTGATGATACCAAAATGATGCAACATAGCAAAGACAATTACCAAATCAAAAAGGAAAGTCCAAGCAGAAACTCAATACCAAAAGAAGAAAGCAAGAATGTTATGACATGCCAAAGAAGTTTACAAGAAAACGAATTCTGAAAATCGATGAATGACAAAAAGTTAGAAAATTTGTACCAGATGTGATTCAACACAAGACAAGATTTTGATAAAGACAAGACTCTTCGTTTAAATTATGAAAGTCAGGATTCATGAGTTTCAAAGTTTATTGAAGAATTATGTGGTTGAGACATTAAGCTTCCTGTCCTTGATATAATATATCTTAGATGCACAAGTACTAGTCAACTAGATATTATAGAAAAGCTTTTAATACACAAAATAAGTTTCAAGCTTCCTTTTTTCATTTTTGATTGTGGCAAAGACCAAATCAGCTTTACAAGGATTACTAAAGGACTATCAAGCGCTTTATCTAATGTGACTGAAGAAATACAATTGTCCCAGTTTAGAATTAGTTCTCCGTGCTTCAGTAAAATATTGAGTAGTTCGACCCAAGCCAAGACACTTTTATTTAAATTGTGACATGTAAGTATAGCAAACGGGTTTTGTTTCAAAATGAGAAAGTCAAACTTGACATGCTTCGGCTTTCTCTGCTGAAAATTAGTGAAGCTATACCATGCAGTATCCAGGAATAATGAAAAAATCTTCCGATGAGTAATAAAAGCTATGAGCCTATCCCCCATGAGAAGAACACTTAAAGTGATGGACATTTCTGGTTCTCATCTTGACAAACTCGAAATCACTAAATTTATGAAAACCTATGGACTGGAAAGAGTAAAAATTGAGGGATAATATCACTAATTTTTATTTAACGTAAAGTACTTGCCAATAAACTAACTTTAAGTGAAGATATTTCTAAAACTCAAAATTTCTCAATTGAAATTATGGAATCTAAAATTTTAATTATTCAGCTAGAGGCAGGAATTAGCTCAATCAGGAATTAAGCAAGCCTGAGGGCTAGAAATTAGAACAAGAAGAAGAGGAATATGTAGGGTTGAGAAAGCGAGTGAGCGAGATGGATAAGAAAGCTTGAATTGCTTAATGGGAGTTTTTGGGAATAAAATGCATTTTGGGGGAATAATTGGTTTGAAAGATTTGGTCTGTAACGATTTGAGTGTAGAATTGAATCGAAGACATAAAGCATTATTTGGTTTGTTCTGAAATTCTGTGGCATAATTAAACTTTTTATTTTAATATCATATTTCAATTATTAGATTAAATTATGGGGTTTTGGGGTTTTGGGGTTTTGGGGTTTTGGGG